CCCGCACATTCAACTCGGGGACCACAAAAGCTAGGCGACTGAAATTTTAATATAGTGCTTCCCGCCAACGGGTGACGCGGCAAATTTAAATTCAGCGTTCCCGTACCTGCGAATAATACTTACGGCCCCGTAAAAGTTTTTCGGGTAAAATCAGTGTCTCGGAACCACGGAAGCTAGGAAGCTGAAATTTTATGTGTATATTCCCTAACAACATGCGACCCAGAAAACTTAAACTCAACCTTCCCGCGTCTGCGGGTAACACGCACGGCCTCGTAAATTTTTAGCAGGTAAAATCATTATCTCAGGGACCACGGAGGCCAGGAAGCTGAAATTTCATGGGTATGCCCCTTGACCACGTTCAACCCAGAAAATTTAAATTCAATTTTCTCGTGCGCTTGGGTGTCGCGTATGGCGCCGTGGAAGTTTTAGCGGAGAATTATCTCGGGAACCATGAAAGCTAGAAAGCTGAAATTTCAGGACGATATTTTCTGCCGCTGCAGATATCTCACAAACTCAAATATAGCCCCCAATTATGCACAGATCTTACGTAAGACCATTTGAGAATTGTGACGTGGAAGTCGCTAGCTCTTAAGCCGAAAAACTACAAGGTTGAAATTTGGAAGGGTATTTCCCATCCTTGTTTTCAAATTTAGCTGTCACGTACCGGCACGTGAAATTTTCAATGAGAAATTCCTCACCTTAGAGGCCAGACAGCATATCTATTGTTTTTCCATAGAAGTATAAAACAGTCATATTTTTAGTAAGCAAACTTCCACTGGACGGGACTACGCAAAACTTATGATTACACCGGCTACCCTGGTGCGGTTCGCTGTTTATTCATGGTTGTCCCGTCTTTTAAAGGCTGCTTAAGCCAAACTTCCAGGCACTTCGGCGGCTCTTTATGCTGAAACAAATCTGCCATTTTTTTTCAGTTTTTTTGTGAATTTGAAATAAGGGCACAGAGCTGAGTTTTGGCACTGACCACAAACCACGTCAGCCAACTTCGATTATCAAATCGGAGAAGTTCTCGAGAGTGACCCATCGGACTGTTGGGGAAAGGGGAAAGAGTGGATAGGAGAAGAGGATTGGCAGTCTGGCATGTCAGATATACGAATCATTGCTCATATGAATTTAGTACGTA